GGAGGTGGGGGGTAGTACATTTCATTTCTTCAGACCACTGCACACTGCTCAGTGCTGTGAAAGCCAGCTGCTGTCCTGCGCCCTCCCAGCCGGCTGTCCTGGGGTATGGGCTTTGTCCAGGCTGGGGTTGGGGATGGTCACAATGCCGCTTGTCCTGTCCAGCACAGTGCTTAGCTGTGAGCCTCGGATCTGCAGTCTCAGCATAAGCTCATGCACAGGACATCCCTGCATGAGCCCACCCTGCCCTCGGCCCCTTCTCCCCAGTGTGGCCACCTAGATCCCCCTGCATTGCAGGAGACACATGACCTCAGCCTCAGGGTCTGGCTGGCTCACCATGCTGTTGAGGATGGCCCAGCACTGCCTTTCTCCCTGGGCCTTCTGTCTTCAGCACCTTACCCCACACATGCTGACTGATGCTTTTCTGGAAACTTCACTCTACAAATCTTAACTGCCTAATTTCAGGCACCACCTTCCAGTTGGAGTATAGCTCAGTGGTTAGATGCTTGTGCAGCATGTGTAAGGAAGGCTCCGGGTTCACCCAGCACCCATAAACAAGTTTGTAAAACAGCCTAGAGGACAAATGGGCTAAAGAAACAAATTAGGGCTCAGCAGTTAAGAGCACTGGCTACTCTTGCAGAGGACCTGGGTTCTATGGTGGCTAAAAATTTTCAGTAACTCCAGTTCCAGGGGTCCTGATGCCCTCTTGTGGCCTCTGCAGGCATCACATGCAGGTGGTGCACAAAATGCTCATAAAGTAAAAATGACTAGGACAGTTTTAAAAGGAAGTAAGTCACTCTCAAAGGCTTAAGTACAGTACAGGTGAGACTGCTCATTGACCACCAGGGGAGCGAGGGCTGTGATGTGGTTCAGTGTGTGTTTGTGGTGCTTACCTGGCTTGCCTGAGGCCCTGAGTTCCATCCCCAGCTCGGGATACAGCTGGGGATGGGATACCCTGAGATGCCATCTCCCCATCAGAGTGGCCATCATTAAACTGCCAAGGCAGGCAGGCGTCCTTGATGGCTGGTGGGCTTGTAAACTGCAGCCACTGTGAAAGCCAGTGCAGGGGTTTCTCAAGAAACAAATATGGTGGGCGGTCCTCATTTGTGGGTTCTAATTCTTATAGATAGGTACGGTCATGAAAATAGAAGTGGTCTAGAAGACATATGGGGGGGTAGGGAGGGGTGTGTGTGCTCAATATACAATATCTATGTGATGTCCCAGCGAGATGGTTCAGAAGGTACAGGGGCTTGCTACCAAGCCTGACAACCTGAGTTTGATCCCTGGGACCAACATGGTGGAAAATCTGACTCTGGCAAGTTGTCTTCTGACCTCTGCATGCGCGCACACACACACACACACACACACGATAAATTTAAAAAACATTGCCTGGGGCTGGAGAGATGGCTCCAGCAGTTAAGAGTGCTGGTTATTCTTGCAGAAGATCCAGTTCAAATTCCAGCACCCACATGGCGGCTAACAACTGTAACAACAGTTCCAGCGGATCTGATGTTCTCTCTGACCCCCATGAGCATTGCATGATACGGGTGCACTTACACACATTTGGGCAATATACAAAAATAATAAGGGGCTGGAGAGGTGGCTTAGTGGTTAAGAGCATTGGTGGCGCACGCCTTTAGTTCTGCACTCGGGAGGCAGAGGCAGGTGATTTCTGTGAGTTCAAGGCCAGCCTGGTCTACATAGGGAGTGCCGGGCCAGTTGGGGCTACAGGGAGACCCTGTCTCAAAAAGACCAAAAGAAAGAAAAAACGCTGGCTGCTCTTGCAGGCGACCTGGGTTCGATTCCTAACACCCATGTGGCAGCTAGCAACCGTCTGTAACTCCAGTTCCGGGGGATCTGATGCCTTCTGACCTCTGTGGGCATTGCACAACATGGGTGCACTTTACATACATGCAGGCAATACAGTCATACACATAAAATTAAAAAAATTGTCTACATGTACACACACGAAGTGACTGATCCCTTGTCCCTGAATCCATCTGCATGCAGAACCGCCTCCTTGCTAGTCAGGGGTGGGACTGAGCCATGTTTACATAGCCGCGGGCTCTCCCCCTTGAAGATTTCTGGTGCTTTCCAGCCGGTGTCTGACTTCCATGGGCTCCAGACTTCCCAGGTTCTGCTGGTCCTGGGAGAGCTGACTGGCCAGGGCTTCCAGACACCCCACTCCCCACCCCAGCTCCAAGGGAGGCAGCTGCCAGCTACTCAGTGGACACAAATGCCGGCTTGTGGCTGGGCTTGCAAGGGCCGGGCTCCACCCCTCTGCTTTTGTGGTGGGACCCAGGGCCTGCTCTGCCAGCACTGCAGGAGCCTGCATCGTTTTCTTACCACCTGCATTGGCAGGATGCTCAGCCAGATGACTTGCTAAGCAACTGCGAGTGAGCCTGAGTGCGCATGCCCATCGCAGGCTGCCCCATTTCTATTCTGCCTCAGCCACCACCCTCCCACCAGAGGCCCCAAGAGCCCAGCTTCCTGCGCCTCTGCCTCTGCCCAGGCTCCTGGATGCTTGTTTTGGAAATACTGTCCCTGGTCCAGCACCAGAGAACAGCGCCCCACTCTGCACCAATCCCTGCCCACTAATCTTGCCCAGCCTCACCCCAGTGGCCAGACACTCACCTCAAGTTTCATCCTTCTCCCCCAGGACTCTCAGTCTGGCCTCTCTGGCCTCCTAGCCTGGGGCACCCCCCATCTGCTGCCCATTCTGTGGTTCTTGTGGCACCTGCAGGGCAAATTCCCAACTCCTCGGCTTGGCATTCAAGGTCCATAGTGAGTGTGTCATCTGGCCAGGCTTCCCAACCCTCTGCAGCCCCATCCACCCTCTCCTGTCACAGCTCTTGTCCACTGCCCTGGCCCTAGCTCAGTTCTCCTCCCCTCCTGACTTCAGGTCTAATATGGGGGTGCTTAGGGAGTGGACCCTCCATTCCTCATCTGACCCCTAGGTGCTCCTCTTTGCTCCCCAGGGGTAAACAAGCTTCCTATTGTGTGGCTGCAGCTACTTTAAGGTTTTTCTGCTTCAACACCATGGCTCTGGGCATCAACCCTGATTCTAGTCCCCAGGGAGACAAGCAGGGACTTGCCCTTGGGCCTCTAGCCTTCTGCCATTTTAACTTGCCCCCACCTTCCATTTAGCAAGACGCCACAGTGTTGCTATTACGGGAACATGACTGTGCACAGGTTACACCTGTCATCCCAGCACTCAGGAGGTGGAGGCAGGGAGACCAGGTTGCAGGGTCATCCTTGCTACATAAGGAGTTCAAGGCCAGTCTAGACTATGTGAAACTCTGTTTCAAACAAACACAAAGAACACTTGCTGTGTGTATTAGGAGTAAAAATGTTTATTTTCACAGCATGTTCCATGTCGTACCACCCCCCCCCCCCATCCCACAGCGTCCTCCACCACCATCGGGAACAATTTCCTGTTGTTTAGTACGGCCAGGCTGCAGGTCCACTTGATGTCAGCAGGTGGTGGCCGAGTCCCGCAGACGTGGGCCTCCCAGGCTGGTACTGGGGTCCTCCACACACAGAGGTGCCCCCATGGGGGGCAGCGTTGGTGGTCCTGGGCTGCTGAGCTTTGGCGTCATGCAGAGATGTTTTCATCTGGGAAATGGAAGTCAGCTGAAGTCCTCCATTGCTGATGCCTGGGATGTGGGGGGCAGGGAGCAGAGCAGGTGTCATCCCCTCCCGGAGGGAGCTCCAGCTTGAGTCCCCAAGCTTGGGGTAACCAGGGATCCCACTGTGTCCCCACCCTGCCACTCACTGGCTGCTTCTGCAGATAGCTGGTTCTTTGCTTCCCGCCTCCTGATTTCCATTCCTCCAGGCAGTGTCCAGCATCCAGGACAGACAGAAAAGAGAAAATGTGTCACAGAAGTCCCTTCTCCACCTCCCTCTCAGAGCCTGAGGGACCTTCCAGCACCAGGGCAGGAGGCAGGGAGACAGGGCAGGAGAGGGATCCACTGGGAGGCTGGTGGGGTTGAGAATTGGAAAAGAAGGGGAGGGAGCAAGCGAGCGAGAGGGCAAAGGAGAAAGGGAAGAGGAGAGAGAGGTCAGAGTTGAGGAGAGAGAAAGGAAGGTGATGGGGAGGCTGGTCTGATGGTCAAGCGCTTGATGTCTGGGAATGAAGACCTGAGTTCGGAGCCCCAGCATGCACACTCAGCTTTTATGGGGAGGTTGAGGTGGGTGGATCCTGGGGCCCCGCGGACAGCAAGCCTGGCCAATTAGTGAACTTCAAAGCTCAGTGAGAGACCCTGCCTCAGAAAGACAGGGTGGAGGGGCTGGAGAGATGGCTTAGTGGTTAAGAGCACTGGTTGCTCTTGTAGAGGACCTGGGTTCAGTTCCCAGCACCCACATGGCAGTTAACCATCCATACGTAACTCCAGGGGATCCAACACCCTCTTCTGACTTCTACAGGTACTGCATGCATGTGGTGCACCTACCTACACATAGGCAAAATACTCATACACATAAAAAAATAAGTAGAAAAGTAGGGTGAAGAGAGGCAGAGGGAGCCGTGAGGTCGTCTCTGTCCTCCACACAAGCTCTCGCAGGTGAGCACACCATTCACGTACAAAACACACACACACACACACACACATAT